AAAAAAAAAAAAGCAGACCCAGGCCTGGGTGCTGACTCCAGGGGGCCCTATGCCCACGGGTTCCGTAGAACTCTCGACCTCTCCCCCTCAGAGCCGCATGTGGGCTCAACACCATCTGTGCATGCCAACCATGTGCCCCCATGGACCCCCGGGCTTGGGATGGAGGCGCAGTCAGGGCTGAGGCCTATTGCAGCGGGGAGACCCCAGAGCCCAGGGCAGCTGCATCTCCCCGAGTCTGGCAGTACCAGCAGTGATCAGGGGCTGCAAAGAACTGGCAGTGGGAGGCGGGATAGAAGGTTTGTGGGACCAGCCCTGGTTGACTTGGCAAAGCAGGTGCTTAATCTGAGCTGAGGAGCAGGCACCTGGTTCCCATTGGCCCATGAGGACCAGCAGGGACCTTGTCCGCAGGTGATAGGAACCTGCACGGGGTACCTCAGAGGGGTTCGCACTAAGCCATTGGACAAACACAGGGTGTCTTAACCTTGTATTTTAGGGGGTCACTTCCTCGGGGAAAGCTTTCATTGTCAGAGAGGGGCCACTGTCACCTTGCAGACTGAGCCTGGGTGACCTGTGAACACGCAGCGGCCACAGGCGAGGCTAGCATGCTCTGGCTGCTGGGGTTAGAGGTGGCAGCAGGCACTGGAGCCAGGTCCTTCGCCTGTGACCAGCCCGTGGGGCCCCACAGGAAGCGCCAACTCTGTTACATGCCATCTCCACCTTCTTGCAATGCTCCTGTCACTTAGAAAACTGGCCGTCCTCCACACAGTGCCTGGGCCAGGGCAGGGGTCCTGTCAGCAGTGGATGTTCCCTGACTTACCCGACGGTGATGGGCCAGGGTCCCTGCCTGGGTGCTCCCAGCATTCAACGTAGCCACCACCCAAGCTCACATCCCTGTGCTTCCTGAGAAGAGCATGCTTGTGGCTGTATTGTGGCAGTAGGGCGCAGAGATGGTAGGTCACTTGCCCAGGTGGACCAGTAGTTTGGGCGCAGAGCATTCTGGCTACTCCACCTGATGCCCCTCAGCTCAGGGGTCTGGGGAGGCGGCTGGTGTCTGGCCGTTTGTCAGGCCAATGCAGTGCCCAGGTGGGGACAGAGGGAGGAAGGGGAGTGCTGGAGGTGGGGCCTGGAGGGCAGGTGGCTGACCCCACTGAGGATAAGGCCTGACAGCTCCACCTCAGGGACATGTCCGCCTCTACATATGAGCCCAGCCTGGGCACACAGCCTCAACATGGGGCCCACCTTTTGGCCCTATGCAGGCCCCTGCTCCAGGCAGGTTCAAGGCAGGGGGATGAGGAGGCAAGGTCTGTGGGCTTGCAGCCTTGAACTTGGCAAGCTGGGGTCCCCCAAATCTGCCCAGGAGGTTCAGGGGAGGGGGGACACTGAACTGGCAGAGTACCCCAGCAGAGCGCTCCACAGAGCCCTGTGTCTCAGATCATCTGGCTCACCTGTGCCTCCAGGGCAGACCAGGCAGGAAGTGCACCTGGCAGCTGTGGGTGTCCTAGCTCCGAGGACCCGCGAGGCCCGCTAGTCCCTCCCCATGGCCCTGCCACGCCTCTCCTGTAAGGCCAGCAGCCAGCACCCTCTAACAAGCAGATAGGCTTTATTTGGGACATTGGGTGGGCAGAGGGTGGCCGCCAGCCCTGGCCCTGGCTGGAGTCAGCCGGCCTACTCCCAGAAGTGGACCCGTTGGTGCTGGATGAGCTGTGAGCTCTGCCCAAAGGCTTGCCGCACTGGGCACAGGCGAAGGGCCTCTCCCCGGTGTGGGTCTGCAGGTGGTGAAAGAGGTGCTAGTGTTCGCGGAAGGCCTTGCCGCACTGGGCACAGGCAAAGGGCTTCTCCCCCGTGTGGATGCGCTGGTGCTCCGCGAGCACGGAGCTCCAGACGAAGGCCTGGCCGCACTGGCCGCACACGTACTGGTCGCACACGTATGGCTTCTCGCCCATGTGCAGCCGCTGGTGCCTCACCGGGTTGGAATTCTGGCTGAAGGCCTGGCCGCACTCACCACACTGTAGGGCTTCTCCCCGTTGTGCACGCGCAGGTGCTGCGTGAAGTGCGAGCTGTGGCTGAAGGCGCGGCCACATTCGCTGCTCTCGGAGGGCTTCTCGCCAGTGTGCACACGGTGGTGCTGGATGAAGCCCGACCAGCCGAGGAAGGCACTCGCAGCAAGCGTATGGCTTCTCACCCTTGTGCACGTGGCGGTGCTTCAGCAGCAGCGAGTGGTACTTGAAGCTCTTGCCGCAGGTCTCGCAGGGGTGCGGCTGGCCGACCCGTGGGCCGGCTGACTGGCCCCCACAGGCTGTGTCCCAGCAGCCAGTCGTAGCCACTGCCCAGTTCGGCCTGCTCAGGGGCGGTCCCCTGGGTGCCCTGCTGCAAGAGCGCCAGACGCCACGTGTCCCTCTTCTGCGTGCACCGTGCAGTGTCTGGTGGCTCCAGACTGGCCTCCAGCTCACAGCTGTCCCCACACATGGATCACCTGGGCAGGGTCCTCAGCACCCCCACATCCTGGCTCCCGCCCCCCTCAGGAAGGCCTGGCTGTTGGGGCCCCGGCTCTGGATCTGCAGTGAGGAAGGGAGTAGCCGCTGGCACCTGAGCATGTGGCCGTCAGCCACATCAACAGTGTGCCCTGGGGGAGGGGGGTGGCCGTGTCCTCAGATGGGCAGTCAGGAGCCACTGGGGGGCAGAGTCAGGGGGACTAGTGCTTAGTGGAGGGGGCAGCAGGGTGCCTGGCACACAAGGGGGTCTCCCCAATCACCTGGCCAGCAGGCTTCCCCCCTGCTCTCTACTTGGAGGTTGTCCTGTGGACCCAGGTGCGACAGGTCCCGCTCTGGATGGGGCTGGGCCATCACCTCAGGGCTGAAGTGGCGGTGCCTGAGTCAGGAAAGAAGGCTACTCCTGTGTCCCAACCAGGTGCCATCCGTCCCCCTCCTCCCCATGAAACCAGCCCTGGGCTCACAAGGTCCATCTGTCCCCATCCGCCACCCACTGAAGCTGCCCTAACGTCCATGACAGATGACCCTGTTCATCTGTCTCAGCCTGCTCAGAGCACCTCCTCTCAGGCCCAGCCCACTGAGCCCAGACAGCTCGCTGCTCAGGGAGGGCTTCCTGCCTGCTCGCGGCCAGCACTGAGGCTGGCCTCCCAGCCCACTCACCCACGTGTCCATCTACATCACCGGCCTCCTCTCCCTCGGGTCAGAGCCTCTGGCTGGGCTGCGGGGCAGCAACTCTCAGCCAGAGGGCCAGCTGAGCCCTAGCCTCTGCAGACTGGGTGCTCTGGGTCCAGGGAGATGGGGGACTGGTGTTGTGAGGAGCCCTGCTGGCCCCTGGCTTCTCCTGGGTTTGGCCAGGCCACTCCTCTGGCCCCTCAGTGGGCCTGCCATCCGGTGCACACCCACCTCCTTCTTCCTGGTCCAGTGAAGGCTTGGGGCGTTAGGGACGCAAGGGGGGCAAGACACCCAGCTGGGCCTTGTGGCCACAGCACAAAGGTTCTGTGAGCGAGCAGCTTGGGTACCACAAGGCCACTCCCACGCATGACCCCCAGACCCTGCCAGGTGACAGGGTTGTCAAGGGCGGGCGTGGTGCTTGTGCAAGTCCATGGATCTCAGGCAGAACCAGCCGCATGCACTGGAGAGACTCCGGGAGGGAGTCTTGCTCCCAGGGTGGAGCATGGGACAGGGGTGAGGGTGGGCACAGGCAGCAGTTGAGTACCATGTTGGTCATGGAGGTGAAGCTGGCCCCCGGGGCTGTGGACGCTCTGGGTGTCTGCGGTGAAGAGGGTCTGACAGCGAGTGGTGCAGCGCAGGCCGCCATCCTCCCAGTCTCCAGAAAAGGTTCACACCTGGCACCTGGGGAGATGAGAACAGGGGCAGGATGAGGCCGGGGGCGTCTGCTCCCAGTGTCAGGTGGGTGGGCTGGCTCTCATGACTTAGCAGCAGTGGCAGTGGTGAAGAAAGTGAAGACTATGGGAGTCACAACCCCGCCCTGGGGCCAACCACTGCAGCTGGGAGACGGTGCGAGCAGCAGGAGAGTGGGGCGCAGGCGGCTTTCCAGAGCAGAGGGGCTGCTCCAGAGGCCAAGGAGAGACTGCCAGACAGGGCAGTCCTCAGCGTCACCCGTGTCGCGGCCCCGGCTCCTTTGGGGCCAGAAGCCGAAGTTCAAATCAAACCCTCTGCCAGGGTCCGTTCGGACTCCCAGTGGCTGACCCTGCTGGGCGGAGCAGGGTCGCCTCCTAAGGGCTGCCGGCGCAGGCGGTCAGTCCCGGCCTGAGCAGACAGCCACAGCTTCCTCCCTGCAAGCCGCTGGACCCCGGGTCTTCCAGTGAGCCATCGGCGTAAAGCTAAACCCACGGTGCCACCAGCCAAGTGCACCGTGAGAAGTGTGCTTTTCTTTCACGGTGAGCTAAAGGGTGTGTGCGGTGTGTGATCGCCCTCGAAGAAGCACCGCAGCCTGACCGGCTTACAGGGGAAAGGGTCAAGGGTGCACGAGGGGAGGGCTGTAGGTCCCCAGGCCTCTGGGTCACCAGTTAGGTGACTTACTAGGGACTCAGGCCGGCCCCGGGGCGGGGTCTCGGATGGACGCCCCTTCAGCTCGCAGGGGCAGGGGCACACATTTCTCAGCCCTGTTCCGTGGAGAAGGGCCCCGCCGCACGGCGCGGGGGAGGGGGGCGTTGCAGGAAGCCCCCTTCTGAGCCTGCTTCCTATCTGCAAAGTGGGGGTGTCGACGAAGCCCTGGGGTCCTAGCGAGGCCCGCCGCGGGACCCCGCGGACGGAACCTCAGGATGGGGATCGTGATGGGCCGGGGCTCCGACGGCTGCAAGATGGGGCGGCTCCCGAGACAAGGTCCCTCCTCTGGAGTCCGAGGCCACGGCGAGGGCGGCCGCGGGGACTCGGAACGGGCGCAAACCGAGGCGCCCGGAGCCGCCGCCGGCCCAGACTCACCTTCGGAGCCCGGAGGGGCCACAGAGCAGCCGCAGGAAGTGCCGCGCCCCCGCCGGCCGCCAGGGCGCGCGCGAGCGCACTTCCGGGCTGCTCTCGGCCGCTCTAGGCCTCGGAGGACCGCGCCCCTCGCTGGCTCCCTGGGCGGGCGGGGCGGCGGGCCGACTCCGAGGTGTCGCCCAGCGAGCGCAGGGTCTCCTTCCGTTCCACACCACACCAATTCCTCCTGTTGTACATGAGCCGGACAAGAACAGCTGAGACGTGAGATTTGAAGACTTAAGAAAAATTTATTAATGAAAACCTGCGCAGGGACCAGCCGGCCTTAGAAAGTGAGCCCATCAGCTGGTGCCTACTGCTCACAGACAGGTGGTTTTTTTTTTTAATCGTTTTATTGGGGGCTCATACGACTCGTATCACAATCCATACACACATCAATTGTGTAAAGCACATTTGCACATTCATTGCCCTCGTCATTCTCAAAACATTTGCTCTCCATTTAATCCCCCGGCATTGGGTCCTCATTTTTCCCCTCCCTCCCCGCTGCCCCCTCCCACATGAGCCCTTGATAATTTATAAATTGTTATTTTGCACAGACTTAGGTTTTTATAGGGAGGGCTTCATCAAACAGTTGAGCTATGTAGCTGTGCAAGCAAGCTGGTATAGAAGCAGAACTTGCAGTTACGCGATTCAGCACAATGTACTGTCACAAGATAGTCTGCGGCCGGTCCAGAGAACAAGGGGCTTGAGGCGGCCCACATTGAGTTGATGACCAGAACCCGACCAGCTGGAGACTTTTGAGCCTGTGAACTGGTGCATATTGCTGCTGACTTTATGGATGGCTTGTCCGGATTTGACTTTGCTTATGGATGCAGACTTCACAAGGTTCCAACTGGAATGAAGACTCTT